GCACCTGGGGAAGTTTGGACCTCATTCATGAAATCCCCTCCCCAGGGAAACATTTCCAGGAGACCTCATGGTTCTTGCGCCCTTTCCACCTCTCAGTGGAATTGCTATTGAAAATAGGGTGGGCTTCCTCAGGGAAATGGGCACACCAGGCTATCGGGGCAAACGCATCAATCAGCTTATCCTCCAGCTGAACCAGACCCAGGTGCCAAAATGTAGGACATTTTTATCAATGAAGTAGAATCATAGGTTTTTGTTTTGGGGGGAATTTTTATCAAGTATCTTCAGAGAAAATTACTTCCTGCTTTACCTTCAAAAACTGGAAAGGAAGGGGCAAAGGAAATACAGTAGCTTATGTTCATGGCAAGCACCTCTCATCACAGTCCAGCTCCAAGGAAAAATGCCAGCGTTTTCTACGCTGGCTGCTGCCTCGTCTGACATCAGCACATTCCATGGAGGAAGGAGTCCTGCTTTGCCACATCTCCCATACTAGGGTTTAACGTTGGTGAATGAGTAACTCCAGCGTTTGTGAAACGCTCCCTAAGACTCCTGCAGCAGTCAACCAAGCCCAGCGACATAATTGAATCTGGAGATTCCTGGGGCCTTGTTTTGAAAAAGACGTGAAATACACATAGGAAGAAAGTCACAAAAATGAATGTTCACTTGTCTCTGCACAAGAAAGAAAGAAAAGAAAAAAACCTATTTATAAAAGTAGAGGGAGTAATATAAGTAATCCAGTTTCAGTAATTATCAATATATCTGGTTTCATCTCCATTGCTTTAATCTGCCCCTCCTTTCCTGCTGCGTTTTAAAGCAAACGCTAGATACCATAACATTTCATCTGTAAATATTTGAGTATTTCTAAGAGATAAAGATTTTGCCTTAGCCACATTAATTCATCATTACATCAAAACAAACGAACTGACAAGACCAAAAACAAAAGAACAAAACCACTTAACAGTAATTCCTTCCATTCCTTTCAACTCAAATATTTCCAGACCCAAAGCTGACAAGCTAGACCTGAGTCAGTTATAGCCACAGAGTCCTAAGAACTGACGCTTTTTACTCTATTCTATAAATGACTAAGAGTTTTAGCATTTCCACCTGATAGACTTCATTGGTCTCCAATTCTGGACTTCAAACCAAAGAGGAACATGAAAAATATAGAGAGCATTAAGTAAAGAGCCAACCAAAAGGTTTTGGTGTTCAAAAAGAAGGCAGATTCCTTATAAAACTTGAAAGAACTGGAATTATTCTGACTGAAAAGGAGACATGCCAATGGAGTACATTAGAAGCAAAAATCATTCATTCATTCATGTACTTTTTCATTCATTCATTCAATGAACACTAATTGAGGGACAATAGTAAGTGATGGGGATGCAATGACACAACGTGTCACCCACAGGAATTGTGGCAATAAGTTAGCCTCCATCTTCAATTAGGGAAAAAGTAACACCAAGGGGGCTATACATGCAGCAGGAAGACCAGCAAAATATTAAAGTGGGTTTTCTTGGGGTTTTTTTTAGAGATGGAGTCTCACTCTGTTGCCCAGGCTGAAGTACAGCCGTGCAATTTGGCTCACTGCAACCTCCACCTCCAGGGTTGAAGTGATTCTCCTGCCTCAGCTTCCCCAGTAGCTGGGACTACAGGTGCATGCCATCATGCCCAGCTAATTTTTGTATATTTGGTAGAGACAGAGTTTCACCACGTTGTCCAGGATGGTCTGTATCTCCTGACCTCATGATCCGCCCACCTCGGCCTCCCAAAGTACTCAGATTACAGGCCTGAGCCACCACGCCCAGCCTGAGGTAGGTGTTCAAGGGACACTGGGAATCTCCTTTCAGAGACAGGAGAACTTCATTTTTGTTTGGGATGTTTTAAATATGCATAGAGGATAGAAAATCTTTTATGGATGTTATAGGATTTTGTACACCCCCAATTTATTCTTTGTCAAGAAATGTGTAAAATACAGAATAGAGCTCATACAGATTTCTATTACCTGATATTTGCATCTGTCTGGTGTTAGGAGTTACCCTATACGTAAAGACAAAATCACTCTATAAATTTAGGTTTGCTTCTCTCTAAAATTGGAAATGTGAAATATAACTTAACTTCACCTCTCTGAACAGAAGTCTTGGGTGTGTGAAACACAATTGGAAGACAGAGAGGTCCATGAAAATTCACTTCAGTCTCATCTCCCCTCAGTGCTCCTGCTGTTAGGATAGCAGGCTCTCACATCTGACAACTGTAAGGTCTATAAGTTGCTGGTCACCACAGTAATGTTGAAATTGGCAATTTAAAAGCCCAGTGACTGAGAAAGACCACCTGAAGAAATTCGGACACCTGCAGAAAGACAGCCCTGAGCCAAACAGTGAAGTGACTGACCCCTTAGTACTGTCCCCTTTTCTCCCACCCCACGGCCTTCACCTTGGTCAGCCACTCACAACCTCCCTTAGATAAGGTTCTGGCCCCTGACTTCATTCTTCCCCAGCCAAAGAAATGCCACTACCTCCTTCCCGTTCACCCAGAGTCATCATTTACCATGAAATCAATGTTTCTGAAAGGTAATGTGAACATATAAGTAACTGAATTTGTTTGCTCCTCAAAATGTCTATTTTCACTTTTATTAGACCTCCTAAACCCATCAGTTGGTCATTGAGGTAAAGCAGGTGCGTACATACCACCGAATCCACTAAGAGCTTTCAGACCATTGTCCAATTTAACTCATCTCCACAGCACCCCACCGCCCCCCAATCCAGATTTGCAGCATTTTACAGATGAAGAAACTGAGGAGCAAACAGACTAAGTTGCTTTTCCATGATCACTCGGAACTAAGAGACAGAGTCATTTCTGACTTCAAATCCTCCCTCAACATCTGGAAATCCGAGCGCTTCCGCCTTCCTTGTGGAGTACAAGCAGGTCCATCACCTCCTCAACTGAAAAAGAAGCAGCACGCAGCCCTCTCCCTAAGGTCTGACCCTTCGCAGACCAGTCCTTTAGATTTCTGATTCCAGATGCTTTGCTGTTGTTGTTGTCGTTGCTCATTTATTTCATTTGTTTCCACAATCTCAGCATCCGTAGTTAAGAAAATATTTTAACCCTAAGAGACCTTTTTTTTTAATTGCATTTTAGGCTTTGGGGTACATGTGCAGGACATGCAAGATAGTTGCATAGGTACACACATGGCAGTGTGATATGCTATGCTGCCTTCCTCCCCTTAGCCCACATCTGGCATTTCTCCCCATGCTATCCCTCCCCAGCTCCCCCCGCTGTCCCTCCCCTAGTCCCCCCAGTAGACCCCAGTGTGTAGTGCTCCCCTCCCTGTGTCCATGTGTTCTCATTGTTCATCACCCGCCTATGAGTGAGAATATGCGGTATTTCATTTTCTGTTCTTGTGTCAGTTTGCTGAGAATGATGTTCTCCAGATTCATCCATGTCCCTACAAAGGACACGACCTCATCGTTTTTGATTGCTGCATAATATTCCATGGTGTATATGTGCCACATTTTCCCAGTCCAGTCTATCATCAATGGGCATTTGGGTTGGTTCCAGGTCTTTGCTATTGTAAACAGTGCTGCAATGAACATTTGTGTGCATGTGTCCTTATAGTTGAACAATTTATAGTCCTTTGGATATATACCCAGTAATGGGATTGCTGGGTCAAATGGAATTTCTATTCTGAAACTACTCCAAATAATCCAAAAAGAGGGAATCCTTCCCAAATCATTTTATGAGACCAACATCATCCTGATACTTAAACCTAAGAGACTTTTCATTGTGGACATCCTAGACACCTGTAGCCCCCCCAGTAGAGGCGAGGCCTCGCCAAATAGCACTACACCAACAGACACTCCGGCCAGCTCTTGACTCCCTGCTCATATATAAGAAGCCAAAGTCAGTCAAAGAAGAGGGAATGCCTCAGGCTTTGGTGCATCAATGATCAACTTTGGTGCCCTTGGCTGACTTGGTCAGCAATTCAGAAAGATCGATATAAATTACATAGATGCCACATTGCAATGAGTGCCACTGGATTATCCAATGACTGGAAAGAGAAGCAGCCAGCTCTGTCACCATCCTAGGGTTTGCTGAGCCACCTCTGCCTTTCACTACACATAGGGCTTATGTTGAGAAAACTGGCTAGATCCACGTATATTCACATCTCTGTAATAATGCACCATGTTCTCACGGGAATCTCCTAGACTGTGAGTTCAGATGCCTGCCGTCTAATCTCGGATCTCACTAGCTCTGTGATGCTAATAACTCACTTCCCCTATCTGGGCCTCAGTTCCTTCATCTGTAAAATAGGGGCCTGAATTAGAATTCCCTCTTCTAATGTTGCACAAGGGACACTGTGCTGCATTTTCTTCTGGAAAGATGTAACTCTGCACAAAGAGGCAGTAGGGTGTATGCACTGGAGCTAGTCAACCTGCATTTGAATCCTGATTCTCCCACCTACTAGCTGTGTGTCTCTCAGCAACTTACTCATCTTTTCTAAGACTCAGTTTTGTTATTCATTATAAATAAAAGTAATAATTATTGAGAGGTCAAATCAAAGAATGCATATAAACTAATGAGCAGAGTGCCTGACACACAATAAGTGATCAGAAACATGTTAGTTCACATGACATTTAAACATGATTCTTATCTTTGTGCCCCAAAAACGTGCATGTGCATCAAATGGAAATGATTCATTCGGTTTTTAAGCTTCCTGGTTTCTGTGTCAACCTCGAAAAAATGTTCATAAGCTCAAGTTCAACTCCAGTTATAAAGTAAAAAAAAAAAAAAGTCTGATTAAAAACTCTCTGCCTCATTGTGGAAAGTCATTTGTTGTAATATTCACATTCAGCCAGCTGTGAGCTGGTCGACTGAGCACCCACTCTGTGTCAGGTTACATCTGAAAGAACATAAATGCTTGAAAGAATCATTTAAGCAAAACCTATATAAAGAAATATACTCCTAATTTATTTTTTGACACTGTTATTTTACTTCGTTGACCCTTAGACACAACCACTGAAATTACTACAGCAAGAGAGTCTGTATGTTTTATGTCATTCATTTGCTCAAAAAATATTTATGACCACATAGTCTGTACACGACACTGTGCAAATCTGAGGCAGATGCAGATTATCTAATCCCCAACACCTGGGAGCCTGTAGTCTTGTAGAAAAGATGCTGCATACAGATATACGTATCAGCCAAAGCAGTATTCATGTGCCATTAAAAAATACAACGTGAAGAAAAATGAAAAATTATTTCTAGCTGGAGACAGAGAAGAAATAGGGTGAACCCTTGGAAGAAGGGGGTATTTATACTGGTCCTTTAGTGGTGAGCAGGATTTCAATGATTAAGAGAGAGGTTTTAGGGAAGAGAGTCCCTGAGGGCCTCCCAGGAATCAGGAATGACAGGCGTCAGCAAAGACTGGGAGAGTCAGATCCATGACATCCATCCATGAAACGTGGCAGAGTCCCATCTGGTCGGCATGTGAGATGCAGGCGACAGTGAGCACCGGGCTGGGAACGCTTTGCCTCTGTGGCGTTTAGGCATCATTTAGTAAACAAGGGCAAGGCATGGAGGGTTTGAAGAACAGGGGGAAACGTGCTCGGAGGTGTTTCAGGAAGACCGATCTGGCACTATGATCTATTTCTCCTTTCCCGAAGAAAAGTCCTACAATCTATGGCCCTCAAAACAATGTGTTTATCCTCAGTGTCTCTAAAAGTGCTTCAGCCATCCCTAGTCGCATTTTAACTGCTTAAATAAAAGCATCATGTGAAACCTGCAGTCCTTATGTCAGGGTGACATTGAAGGTGCAAGGCATATGTCACGAGATTAAATAAACTCACAGTCACCTATCCCCTCCAGAGTCCTGGCTTTAAATTCAGGTCGCATCATAAATGAACAGGGCTTGGTGGCCTCCCGCCTATCTCCTGGGAACATTTGTTTGATTCACTAAAATACGACACAATTTGACACACTCCGTATAATTAGCATTCGCTATTTGGGAGAATGCCCCAGACAGCTAGAATTCAATGTACTGAAGCCAGACCGGAATTTTTCTCTGTCCTCCTCCCTCATTTTTTTTTTCTGCTCTCTCCTTTCTTCATCAGAGGGCCATGGAAGCTGGAGATTTGAGGGAGCAAATCCCAGATGTCCCGGGTGCTCTGCACACCAAGTCAAGCACCAACATGCATGGTTCGGCCTCTGTGTTCTCCTCTGCATGCAGAACAGAGGCTGCTCTCCTATGGTCTGCTCCCAGACCTCTTCACACAACTGTTGATTACACAGTGTTGGTTTCACATACAGAGTTTTTCCGGAAGAAGTTCTGCTTCAGAGAGAGGTGCTTAGTGTTTAGCAGTGCTCCCGCTAACAATGATTAAAGTTATTAATGTTACTTAAATCAAGCAGGGCATGAATACACAGAAGACACTGGGGTAACTACTGCTCAAAACATATGAAAACATCCTCTTTTCTCAAGCACAGGAGTTTGCCTGTTCATTTTAAATCTGTTTAATTCCAATTGTAGGGGGGCCTTGTGACAACCATCCAAAAGTTAGCTGCCAAAACTGTGACTATATTTAGCTGTTTATCACACACCAACCTCAAGGTGGTGCGTGCTGGTAGACACACAGAAAAGCAGAGCAAACTGGAGCTCATTAGCAAGGGATGCCAGGAAAGCTTTAGGAAAATTCAGAACTGGGAAATATTTGTTAGAGAATTTTAGTTGTATTACTTCTAAGGACAAAAAAAAATCTAAGTTTATAAACAGAAGCAGCATAAATAAGTTCATTTTAAAGTTACAATAGACAATGAAGAGTGAGGATACATAAAAAGCACAGACCTCAAACTCCAGGCAAGTGACTGGAATCTTTGATTTCTCGATCCTCTGGTTTACCATGGTTGACATGCTTCCTGCTGCTCACGGCCCTGGAAATGCAAGAAAAGAAATTCATTTTCTATTTTTTTTTCTATCCAAAAGTTACATGTGTCATTATAGAAACATCACAAGTTTCAACTGGATGGGATCCAAAAAAATGTCATCTTCCTGTGAGTGTGTAGCAATACAGCAATGCAGAAATGGAGTCATAACCGACCTGGAAAGCAAGGAGGGCCTCTCCGCACTCCAGATCCAAACGGACACACCACATTGGGTTTCTTCTCAGCAGGGACTAATTTTGATTAGATTTGAAGGCCCAATTTAAGCTTAGCCTAGAAGCTGCCTCCGCTGCTTGTTAGTGGTCTGTGCCCTCATGAACTCTCACTGAAGAATACGGTGGAAACACTCAACTCCACGTTCAAAGCCACAGCACTTTATTTTATGCTTTGGTTTGGTGACGGCTTGGGAAGGGGAAGTCAATTTTCCTTCATGTCTTGGAACAGAATTGGAAACTAATTACATGTTGCTCTGAAAATCAGTTTAAAAAATAGTTTGAAACTAGCCCATAACGTCACATAACCATAGGTGACAACTGGCCCCTAATCGTACCTCAAAGTTTAGCCACTGGCGGTTCATTTATATTTTCCTTCTCGACACCCTCCCCAGCACCCCAAACAAAACGGGCTACTGTTGAGGAAGGTTTGTGGAAAGATGAGTAAACAGTGCCACCTAGTGGGCTAGAGGGCACTAGGGAAAGAAGAAAACCAGTGAATGTGCACAAATGAGAATACCAGCCAACCGGCAGCACTGGGCCACATTTTGCCTTCATTTTTGCCCTCTGTTATCACCCATGAGCAAAGAAGAAAGTTTCCTCAAGGAGACATTAATAGATAATCACAAACAAATAAGCCCCAAGCCCCACAGCTTTCCCTCTCTAGTTCCCTAATAAAGATCTTACCTAAGTAAAAATAACATCGGTCATTCATTCCGCATTTACGGAGAGCCGATAGTTTACAGCGAGCCTTACCCGGGTCATCTCACTTACTCAGCCAAAGAGTCCAGTTACTGGTTAGGAGATTTGATGACTTGCTCGAAATCACAGCCTCTGACACAGCCCAGGCAGTAACACCCGCTCTGTAGTACCCCCCACACACAGCCCAAGGGCAGCAATGAGATCTTGGGGGAACACGTGTTTGTAATAACACAACAATTAGATACATATAGAGCATTTACTGTGCCCCCGACTACTTAGGGAATACTATGATGCACTGACATGGATCCTGCCCTCTACTAACTTGTCATTTAAAAGAGAAATTTGCACTTTGGGAGGCCGAGGCAGGTGGATCACGAGATCAAGAGATCAAGACCATCCTGGTCAACTTGGTGAAACCCCGTCTCTACTAAAAGTGCAAAAAATTAGCTGGGCATGGTGGCGCGTGCCTGTGATCCCAGCTGCTCGGGAGGCTGAGGCAGGAGAATTGCCTGAACCCAGGAGGCAGAGGTTGCAGTGAGCCAAGATCGTGCCATTGCACTCCAGCCTGGGTAACAAGAGCGAAACTCCGTCTCAAAAAAAAAAAAAGATAAATTTGTAGAGTACATTAGAATTATTATCATTTCAAGCTATCTTCATGTCCCTACAATGTAATCAAGATCCTGATTTTAGAAATGAGGTTTTGTGATTCATCCAAGTTCACACAGGCAAGAAGTGGCAGCTGTGGTCTTCTTACATAATGAGGGAACCAGGGTGTGGCATACTCAGGGTGCTTAAACTCACTTAGGAAAGCTAAAAGTGAGTTGATCACTCCACCTCTTGCTGCCTCTTTCACCAGCGCAGCTGCTAGAGATCTCTGGTTTCATGACAAGGTGTGGAGGCCAAAGACGGCAGAGAGCTGACTCAGAGAACAATTACCAAAGGGTTCAGGGTTCAGGGGTGGAACCTTCTTTCCCTCTACCAACTCCAAACCATCCCAGCCCTGACAGGAATGGCATAAATCAAATCTCTTGATAGATCAGATTAAAACAGACAATTTACATTTTATGGATCTCAAAGAATGAGAATTATAAGGGAATTTTCTTAATTTAAAAAGGGGTGCCGGGCACAGTGGCTCACACCTGTAGTCCCAGCACTTTGGGAGACAGAGGTGGGTGGATCACCTGAGGTCAGGAGTTCAAGACCACCCTATCTAATATGGTGAAACCACTTCTCCACCAAAAATACAAAAATTAGTGGCATGTGCCTGTAATCCCAACTATTCAGGAGGCTGAGGCAGGAGTATTGCTTGAACCTAGGAGGCAGAGGTTGCAGTGAGCTGAGATCGTGCCACTGCACTTCAGCCTGGGTGACAGCAAGACTCCGTCTCAAAAAAAAAGCAGGCGGGGGGTGGCATGCATGAGAAACTTCCAGCAAACACACCTAACAGTAAGAGACAGCATGCTTTCCCCTAAGATCAGTAACAAGACAAAGATAATCTCTTTCACCACCCTACTCAAGGCCCTAGCAAGTTCAGTAAGATAAGAAGAAGAAATAACAGGTATACACATTAAAAAGGGACAAGTAAAACTGTCTTTACTCACAGGTGACATGATTGTTAAGTAGAAAACTCCAAAGAATCTTTAAAACAAATTCTTGGAACTACTTACTAAGCAGGTTTAGCAAGGTTGCAGGATGTAAGGTCAATATGCAAAACTCATTGCTTTCCTACATACCAGCGATAAAAAACTAGAATCTGAAATTAATAAATAATACCATTTACAATACCACCCAAAAAAAGAAGAAAAGTACTTGAGCATATATCTAAGGAACTACAAAGAGGATCTGCATGTAAAAATTATCTTCAGTAGGAGAAAACAATTCCTTCTATTATATAAAAACAGGTTAACAGAACAAGGAACCATGTATTATCTTTGTACAGACTGGGAAATTCTTCCAGAGGCCAGACTCAAGATTTCAAAATCCAGGGGTTACTAGCCCACCTGGGGCCATCTGGGCGCCTTCTCTCTTCTTCAGTCTTCTTACATAGTAAGGGAACCAGGGTGTGGCATACTCAGGGTGCTTTATCTCACTTGGGAAAGCTAAGAAGAGAACCAAGAAGGGAGGGGAAAAAATAGGGTTTTTTCATAAAAAGCCTTAATACGATGAGATGACAAAAAAAAAAAAAAAAAGAAGCAAGAACAGCCTTTCTCCTGGCTCCAAGGACCTAATGTTCTGCCATTCTTCCTGCAGTTAGCATCCCAGCCTTTGAGGGTCCTTTTCAATTAAAGAGATCATTTTAGCTTGCCGAATGAAGCTGAGACACGCAGCTGAAGTTTCGTACTTAATTAATGAGATTTGTATGATGCTTACTCTATGTTACTCTGGAGCAGGTACTTTACACTAATGTCCTTTACACCTATTAGCTGATTTAATCTCCACAACTCCATGAAGGAGGTGCTATTGTTAGTCCCATCTTAATAGCTAAATAAATTAATAGCTAATACATTTTTTAACATTGCAAATTTTCTTTTAGAAGTTTTACTTTGGACTTGCTTATATGGCCTACAACTCATCATATATGTCAACTAATATCATATATGTCTTCTCATATATGTCTCATAATAGTCTGGCTGCTTCAACATTCCAAGAAGCTACTGTTGTAAAAAGCAAAGTGTGCTGGAGCGGTGGGATCCTGGTGTGGAGGTCGGGAGGCAGGGGGGTGACTGAGTTCAGAAGCATCTCTGTGATCCCAGTGGTGAGCTGGTCAGTGTTCAACAACCAGCTCTTCATTTAAATAAAAGGAGGGTGGGGAGGAGAAAAAAAAAAACAGCACAGGTGACCACTGTTGTGGTCACCTATTTCTGTGTATAAATACTCTCACCATTGCCAATTTTGAAACTCACAAAGTTCCTGAACATTTTTAAATGGGCTTTCAACCAGCCAGTAGCACACCTGCCAAGCTCCGTGAGGACAGAGTCCACGGCTGTTTCCTTCAACCTCACACCTAGCCCGGTGCCTAGCAGGCAGCAGGCAGTTAAGACGTATTTGCTGAATGACTGAATGAGTGGATTAATGAGACGCAATCAATTAAAGCAAACGGGGCAAGTGCACTGTCTTCCTCTGGCTGTGCTATAATCAGAACCTAGCCGCTTCAATGACATCACGGTCTTGATTTCTCATGACGGTGTGATTTGTGCTACAATTCTGTGGGGGGAAAGGAATGTTATCTCAACATTGGGCTTTGTTAATCGTAACAGAAGTGCTAAGGGAGATAAGACTTTTGAATATGTGTTTTCAAAAGCAGGCAAAAAGAGACATTAGATTTGTTTTTGACTGATTTGATCAGAGTATACTTATAATTTTCAAATGTTATTATTTAAACTCCTATTAAAAAAACATTCTGTTAGATGTATCTGAGACTCTAGCCTCTAACCCCTTGAAACAATAATTGAGACAATTATTTTGATAACCAAACATTCTTTTGGTTATCAAAAATATTTTGGACATCAAAATATTGTTTCATTGGAGCTGAACAGACAGGGGACTAGCTCTCTACTGCCTCCAGTTTTCCCCGCTCCTGGAGGTGATTCTCTTGTAGCACACATTGGACAAAATGTTAGAAGGGAATTCGTTATTCACACACTTGTAATAAGTAAATTTATTTCAATCTAACACAAGTTGTGTGCTCAAATTTCAGAACCTGTAAGAGATGAGTGCAGACATTGTAGGAAATACCATTAAGCTTTTAAATAGCTAATGAACAAAAGTAGCAGACCCCTGATATAGTACACTGAGGTTCAACTTAAACCGAAGTATCTAAGAAAATGGACTGGTGGCTCCCAACCTGGCGTTGCCAGATAAAATACAGGACGTTCAGTTAAACTTGAATTTCAAGTGAACAATGAATAATTATTTAGCATAAATATTGCCCAAGCACAGCTCCCAATATGGCATTGGACATACTTGTACTAAAAATGTATTTGCTGTTTATCTGAAGTAAACATATGTATTTTAATTTGTGAAATCTAGCGACCCTATCTAAACAACATATTTACTTGAAATGGTTTAACGAGGAGTCTGAAATTTCAAATAGTTCTGATATTTCAATGTATAACAAAGAAAAATTTGTGAGAATTCTTTTATAACCTTGAATGTCGAAAGATGTGTTTGAAACACAAAATCCAGAAGCCATGGAAGAAAAGACTTTATAAGATTCACTCATTAAGAATAAAGACTTTTTTTCTGAAGAAAAAAACTAAGCCAAGTAAAAAACAAATGACAATTAGGCAAAGATATTGGCAACCTGAAACACGAAGGGCTAATGCCCCACGCATATAAAGAGTATCTACCAATCCCTAAGAGCAGAAGAAAGACCGTTCATCCTATTACAGTGCTCACAAAGATTGGAGAAGATCATTCACAAAGATAGGAGAAGATCATTCTCTTCTAAAGAAGTGACCAGAAATAGACGCGCAACTTCATTTACGGTAATGAATATACAGATTAAAACCAGATGAAGTTACACCCACTACTTATTAAACTTCTGACAAATTCCAGAAGCTTAATAGTAAATTACGTTGTAAGACTCCATAAAAATAGCATGTACTATATTGTTGGTAAGAATACAAAT